ATTTGTGGTTCTGAAGACCCCTCTCCATCTCCAAGTTGGATAGATATCAACTTAGGATACGCAAATTCTTTTGACTTTTAGGTGACACCATCAACATTATAAATGTTTTCTCATTTATTTAACTTTTTCAAATATAAATTCACAGTGTAAACCTTACATTTGAACCATTGTTTTAAAAATCGGACTGCTCGTTAACTTGGTTAAGGGGTTGATTCGCGGGTTGATCGGTCAAACCGATTTGACCGATCGGTCTAACCGGTATATAGCAGTCACAACTTTAAACAATTCCATTAATTATTATAAGTTTAAAAACTAACAAATGTACCTTGCAGATTTTATTATTAATTATTTTTTTATATCTCTCCTTCACTTCCATCTTTCTCCTTTTTTATCTTTCTCCCCATTAGGCCATCACTCCCCATCACTTTCTTCTTTCTCCTTTTTTCTCTCTCTCGCCCTGTCACTCCCCGTCACTTTCTTAATTCTTCTCCTCCTCTTTTTTCTTCCTGCTCTTTCTCTTCATCTCCTCTTTTCTTTCTTCTAATCTTCTTCCTTACTCTTCCTTCTTCCTTCCTCTCCTCTTCCTTCTTCCTTCCCCTCCCCTTACTTCTTCTTCTTTACACTGTAGATTTTAGAGTAAATGAAGAAGAATAGAAGATGAAAATGGAAGATGCAATTTGGTTTTTTTATTCAAATGAAATGGAGAATGAAACTGTGCTGCAAATTGGTTTAAGAATTAGGAATATGAATTTTTTAGGATCAGATACCCAAAAATAGAGAACCGTTTTAAGCCTAGACCGGTCGGACCAATGGTTTTATACTGTTCTGCCGATCCATTGTCGATCCAAAACAGGTTTAATAACATTCTCAGTTTTTATGTTAACCCGGACCAGAGTAAAGGCCCGCTTCCGATAGACCCAGTCCGGGTTTTAAAACAGAGCTTTGAACCCTTTGCCGTTTCCATTAATGTGTCTAATCTCTTTAAAGATAGAGGTAAATTCTGTTTTAAGTTTTACTAACATTAAGGGTTTAAGGACTTATTATTTATATTTAAGAGGTTTGTTGTATATTAAAGATTGCTCATGGGGTTTAAACAATTACCCCTTCAAAAATAAATAAATAAATAAAATTTATTAATTTTTGTCTATCTTCTCTTTCATCTCTGTCCATGTAGAGCATATCATTGCTTGATTATTTATATTGAATCTATTTTGTCTTTGTTACAACCCCCATCAGTAATCTAAGAAGTTGTAAAAATCATGTTTCTCTTTATATTCTTCAACTCCAAATTGGGTATAAGTTAAAACTATAATCGTCAGAAGAAACTGAAATTCAAATCAAACTAGGCTGTTTCAAGTGAAACTTACATAGAGATGGCAAGGATTAACAAAACCAGATGGACAAACAAGAACATGAACTAAAAGTTGATCAGAGATACATACAAATATATTTTAACTATATATAATTTCCACAATGTAACAATGATTAAATGGTTACAAAGTGTACTCAAAAGTCATAATGTGGAAGCAAAAGTTTATCCACATCAAAAGAAAAATGACAATAGGGGAAAACCCCATACTAGAAACTTACTTAAGACTAAAATAATACCAAGTCAGCATTACACTTTTCTTTTAAGGAAAACAAAAGTCGCTTAATCATATTTTAACATACTACATAAACTTGCAAATTACCCTTCTAAATTGGTGCCATTACATCACAGTTAGCTTCCTTGCTTATTGAGAGAGAAGCTATTGAGAAGTTAATGCCTCTACTCTCTGGGGTGGAGCCCTCTGGGAATTTTTTATGGGTGGTGTATGGTGCCACATTCATTGACCTGCATGCGAATAAATCTCGATTGTAAGTAGCAGATTTCCAGGACTATATAAGTTTTATCAGCAAAGTTGCTTAAGATCAGTCTGTGAAAATTTTATGATACAAAAACTGACCTTTGCTTGCGCTTCTCCAAGAATAGAGCCAAGGATGCTTTCCGAGCCTGTGGAATGGCAGCATAAAAGTTTGAATGTCCTTCATACATCAAACACAGCAACCATAAATCAAATTAGTAAAATATCCAAGAAGGTCAGCAATAAACACAGTGACAAAGTGATTACTTGGCTGGCAAAAGGTAGTTTAATTTCTTAAAAAGATTATAGAATAACTCAAAAGTTCAATAACTATAGTTTTCGTGACTTCAATTAACAGACCAGTGTTTACATCAGTAACTCAAAAGTTCAATATTCAAAATCACAAAGGTTCTTCTAAAGACTACGTATTAGAACAACTCTTCAATAAAACAAGGCCATACCAGAAGGTATCACACTTGTTGAAGCAACAGATCCCATCGCATTCACCCCATTTGAGAGCTCCAATTTGCAAATAGGAGTGGTTGCAACCCCTGTAGTTTTAGTAGCCATCGGCTCTTCTGTATTGTTAGACCCACTTCCCGACTGAGCACCAGTATGTGAAGAAACAGATAGAGGACTCGAGAGACCAGATCCTGGTGGTGTGTTTATGGTATGGTTCACAATAACAGCATCAACTGCTGCTGGTTTTGAGCTGGGTGCCTGAGATTGAACTTTTGGCTGTGTTACAGTTGGAGCCACGGAAGTTCCATTACCGGCCAATAACATAATAGCCTGAGCCTGAAAAAGATGCCAAAATTAACTTATGCTCACAATTGATGCGATACAATTAACAGGACCCTGAACTTTTCACGAGAGTGAATGAAAGAAAACCTTATCAGGGGTGATATCATCATAGACACACACTGAACCGGCATAAAAGATTGTCATTTGAGCAGGAGCCCCATCGGTTTTAACACCATTCCTAGTAAACACATATTTTAGTCAGGTTTCAAACCTTCAGTTTCTTTCTTGTCAGAATGTTAATTAAAGTAAACGAATTAAGGCACTTGTAAGAATTACCATGGCTCAGTGAACCCAACAGAGCCGATGGTGGGAAGAATTGAATGTGAGGTTGCAATAGGAATCCCTCCAAGTACTTGTGGCTTTGTGTTAGCACCAACCAAACTCAGACCATTGGTACCGAAATGATTCTTGAGGAAAGGATTGTTCACAGAAACTGAAATTCCCTGGTTTGAGACTGGAAAAGTCTTCACATCGTGAGGACGATGCAGAGAAGGCACATCATTTTGCACAGAATAAGATGACAGGGAAATATGAGTCGCACCTTGCCTATCGTGATTGAACGATTTCTATATAATAAAAAACAATGAAGGAAATACAATGCCAGTATCAGTTTTTGCCAACAAAACCCAGGACTTCGCTTTTAAACCACTCAATTTAGATATATTTTCAAACAATCACGGAAATAATCATCCACCTTTTTTGTTAAGGAAAAAGAACCCCTTTATTGTCAATGTTCAAATCACATTGGACTCATTTGGAATGTTTCTCATGCAGAACAAACTAAAGTAATCGATTATAATTGAATCAAATAACACATTTATTTTCACATAACCATTAAATGAAAGAAAAACAAACCTGAATTTCAGCTGTTGAACGGTTTTGACTTGGATCATATGCATCTGCAGCTGAGATAGGCATGAAACCAGTTGGCATCAAAGGATCAGAAACAACCTTTTTAGCCTTATCATCTTGAACAACCTTAAAAGACATGAAGTGGGGAAGTGCAGAGGCCTTGTTAGAGAAGGACCACTGTATACCTGAACCTTTAGCAAATCCTACAAATCCCAAAAAGATTCACCAAAAAAAGTTTTCAGCAACATACACAGAAAGCTTTTAGCTTAAACAAATCAAAGCAGCCAAAAAAAATTGTAATCCTAACATGAAAGTTAGGAAAATTTCAACTACATAGTATAAATTAAAATAAGTTTCACTCAACTTATACAGAGAAAACACTATTCAAATTAAACTAGCACTTCTTATAATGAAAATTACTACTTCATATCTTAATGTAACAAGCCATGCAAGCAATTCAAAGTTACAAAACAAAATAACAAAAAATAAAAATTTACAAAGTAACCCATGTTTTCTTAACCAAAAAGTAACACAAACTGAAATTGCAAAAAGGAAAGATTCTATAAACAAATAAACAGGTGAAAAAGGCCAATGAGAAGAACATGCACACACCTATTTCTCTTAACCCATCATTGTTAATCTCTTCCTTCACCATAGCTAATGGTTCTTTTGAGTTCAAACCCATGAAATCTCTCTCCATTTTCACTCTCAAAAGCTTCAACTTTCAAACTAAAAGCATAAAACTTCCTTCCAAGATCAATACCAAACTAAAAAATAAAACAAACCCACTTCTTCACATAAGGAAACAAACAACAACAACAACAAGAAAAGCTTTGAACTTCAGCAAAAGCCACAGAGAGAGAGAGAGAAGTGGTTTTTCAGTTTTATTAAAGCGTGGTTTATTTATAAGATCTTGACCGCTAATTTTTTAAATTAAAAATCACGAAAAATAAAATTAATTTATTATTGCATTCTTATTAACCGGTTTTTCGGTTACCGGTTCATCCGGTCAGGTTACCGGTTGGTCCGGTCTCGTAACATGTGCTTCAGTCTTAAATTCACTCATTATCAAATTGGTGCCCACCTGTCGGTGGTACCGCACATGTAATGAGTGATGACCAATCAGATTTTGAAACGCATATCTGACACGTGACTAGTTCTACCTGTGGCTTTAATACCGAGCAAATCGTTATACAAATTGGTCGCCGATTAATCGGGGATATTTCTAGTAGACTAGAAGTCGTACTCACAGTACTCGCCGCTTTTTTGTGCGAGTTGTGAGTTAGCGGCAGTTACGGTTGCAGAGAGGCTGTGATAGTTTTCCAAGGGGCTTCGCCCGAGATCCAACGGCTCATATTTAAACAATGGAAATTATTATCAACCCCTTCTTGTAGATTAGCATGCGTAAGAGTGACGTTAAGTTACTATTGATTAATTTGTATGCGTGGGGTGAATCGAGTAAATATTTTCTATTCTAAATACAGTCTTCACGGATTTGTTACTAGATTTCGTGCAAGAGTGGAACTTATTTCTGCCACAAAACTTCATTCATTTAATATGAATTTATGTTTGAAGAAAGACTCTTATATATATTATTTAAGTTAAAAGATTATATTATTTAAGTTAAGAGATTTTGAGTTCGAATATATTATTAATTGCTAATAAAGATAATTATTAAAGTTTTTGTTCGATAATAAATTTAAGATCTCAAAAAATTAATTAAAATACGCGTAAACTGATCTAAACACCTACAATTTTTCTTTAAATGAAAATTTTGAAAACGTAAGAATTGAAAAGAAAAATAATCCAACAAGTAGCAGAAAGTAAAAGATAAGGTTGGATAATAAAACAAAGCAAAAGACCAAACACATACATGCAACAAAAGTTTGAATTATTTTTTTAAACATTATAGTATGAAATTTTAGGAAAAATGGAGAGCGTGTTACTGAGCTGTAAAGTTTGGTAAATGACAGACAACACGTGTTTTAATTTAAAGGAATCTATTGCTTTAACTATTCTTCTGAGTTTCTGACACATAGAAGTGTAAACAGCACGCACTGGGTAATTATCCGTAGTTTTTATCTCACGTGTTTTTTTCTTCGACTGCGCAATGATATCTTATTTAACTAATTTTTATAAAGAAAAGATTTATTCATCAAATAAATAAATTTTAAAATGATATGATAATTTCAAAGCCACCCCGGACAAGGTTGAAAAGGGTGGTTTAGAGATTGATCAAATTTTTAAAATTGTACAAAGATTTTATCAGTTATTAAATATTAAGGAAAATAATAAATAAAATGATTTTATTAGTTATTAAAAATAAAGGCAAATAATAAATAATCCAAATAAATATAATAAAGAAAAATTATTGATTAAAATGAAAAATAAAATTTGTAGAAGTTGGAGAGAGTTCCAAGGAGAGAGATGTTAATTAATAATTTAATTATCATTTAAATCAAAAACAAAATTACACGTCAACAATCTCTAACGATTAATATTATAATCTATTAATCAAACACCTAAACACAAGCTTGATTAATTAATTAGTAAATTAAGAATTGGTAAGAAAAAGATAAATATTTTAAGCATAAACATGGATTACTTAATGACAATTGACAATGATATATAATTTTTTATTTTTTAAATAATTCCCAAGACAATGAAATAGTTAACATGTGAAATTAATTAAACTACTTGCCCTTAATTAGGGTTAAAATATTAAATTTTTGAATAGAATAAAAGATGCTTTTGGACTAAGTAATCGTGTATGCATTAATCAAGATTATTTAATAATTATTTTAATCATAATTAGTACGTACAATCAAGATGATTAATTTATTAAATTATATGATTAAATTAAAATGGTGACCCCTTAAGAAAGTGGATTTGAAGTATTACCATGCAACAATTATCCTAATAGACAAAGACAAAGCCAAAAGCAAGAATTTATAAATTATTTTATAGATGCTTTTCGGAGCATACAGTAATTAAATTAATTTTAATATCAAATCATAATTAATTTAAGATAATGGGTTTTGGAGAAACTTAATTAATGGTGAGATCATCATTTATTTTAATTATTTTGTTCTCATATAGTGTGAAAAGGAAACAATGAAACTTTAATATATATATATATATATATTTTAATCACGTGTATGCTGTAATGCAATCCCAAAAGCATATAAGTTTTACAATTAATTATAATAATTAGAGATAATAAATTAACTCATAAATTCTTAATTTGTGTTGCCCAAAAACATTCTGTAAAATTTTTGTGAAAAATGATGTACTTTTTATGATAATATTTGGATTAATGTTTTAAAATTAGATTATGCTAACGTGTGGTTTAAGAAAAGAATAAAACAATGCTTTTATTTGTTTATTGGGAAACAATTTTTGAAGGTATAAAACTCTTTTGAACTTGTAGCCTTTTGAAAACATCTCTAATTTGTTTAACAAATAGATTTTGAGATTTTCAAATAATATTTTCTTTATCGTATTCTAAATTAATTTTTAAAATGAAAAACTATTATTTCAACGTGGTCTTACTGGATTCAATAATATTATATTTACAAAGAAATCTTACAAAGATTTTCATACAAAGTGAGATGGCAAAATATACATGAAAGAGTGAAACAAAAAATCAAACTCATTATAATCACTTTTCTATTCATTTTTTGCCACATTACTTTATATGAAAATCTTTATAAGATTTATTTATAAACGTAGCATTACTCTATTAGATTAAAGGGCTTCTAACGGGGTTAATGAACTATTAATACGTCGTTAAAATTTAACCATCATTTTGTTGGTTTTTTTTTTGGTTAATTTTTCTATGTTTTAACATTTAAATGATTTTTTTTTATGTTGTTGTCGGGAGCATTTATTTGTTCTTGAATAAATTTATTAAAATAATTTGGTTCATACTAAACATTATTAAAAATTGTAGTTGTAAAAGTTGAAAGTGGTTGTCTGAGTCATGAGATGAAAATATTTATTTTGTGATTAAGAAAGACTATGACAATTTGTCTTCAATAGATAAATATAATTTGTTAAAGAATGAATATTATATTATCCTTCAAATATTATATTATCCCTCATTTATTTATTTTATACTTCGTTTTTTCCTTTTATCATAGAATCTACTATAATTTATTCTTTAGTAAAACAAATACACTTAGGATTTGAATGCATTTAATCAAACTAGATGCATGGTTGGCTCGTTTATAGAATTTTTTTAATTAAAAATATTAATTTTCAATGATAATTTCATTAGAATACTAATAAATTGAGTATGCAACACCAAAGGGAGAAGAAAACTAATTTATTAAAAAACTATGTTTCTCATAATTATTTTTTAATGATAAATTGAAAATGTGTTCCTTTATACCCAAATTAATGATCTTAATAATAATAAAGTAAATCAAACACTAATTCTTATCAAATATCAAGTCTTATTTGAATCAAATAACTTTTGCACCCGAGTGCCACTGTAATTGCAAGAATCCAACAAACAATGAAGGTTAGAGTGGGTTAGCAAAATTCAGAGGTTAGGGGAAGCTCGAATAGAACAAGCACTCTGATATCATGTCAGAATTTGAGTAGGAGACTGTCAGAGTATGCTTAAGAGATATCTTTGAAAGGGCAAGAGAGACAATTGAAAGGGTTGGAGTATGTCCGAGAGATATCTTTAGATGAATTCAATTTAATTGTATTGAGTTGTTGTGAATACATCACTTATTTAATTATACAAAAAATTAGCTATACAATACGGAAACATAATACTGTAATAATGTCTATAATCTCCTAAAATATGGAAACACAATATTGTTTCGCATTTAAGAAAACATAAAATTTGTATTCCATTTTGCACTCCAACATAAAGTTTATATTAAAAGACAAGTTTAGAGTTATTTTTTTTATGTAAACTGTGATGCTAATTATTAATTATCGATTCATTGCAATCAAATAATTAAAAAAAATGAAAGTAATTATTTTTTAATATTATCTAAACAATAAAGATAGACTGACAAACGCATCTCACAAACTTGACGTAACAGCTAAGTGACAGCTCTCACCATACCCAATGCAAAATGATTTTGACTAGACCCAAGAAATGGTCATTCATAAAAAGAACGGTTGTTCTGAGGAACAACCATTCCTTCTCTTATGGAACTGGTATGAAGGAACAATAATTCCTTATGAAGGAACGACTGCACTTAGGGACGAACGATCGTTCCTTCATAAAGAACAGTTGTTCCATCTTATGAAACAACCATTCCGTAAGAAGGAACAACCACTCCAAAAGATGGAATTGTTGTTCTATAAGATGGAATGGTTGTTCCATCTTATGGAAATGGAACAACCATTCCATAAGATGGAACAATCATTCCTTCTTATGGAATGGTTGTTCCATAAGAAGGAATTACTGTTCCATGAGGAATGGTTGTTCTATTCATAAGGAATATCCATTTCTTATGAGAACAACTGTTCTTTATGAATGAACAATTGGTCGTTCATAAAAGGAACGGTCATTCCTTATGGAAAGAATGATCATTCCTTCACTTATGGAATGGGAATGAAGGTATAAAGGAGCGGCCAGGGACGAACGGTCATTCCTTCATAAGGAACGACTATTCCTTATGAAGGAACGACTGTACTTAGGGACGAACGACCGTTTCTTCATAAGGACTAGTT